ATAATAATCAATATTTACATCATCCCATCTCCTCATTTCTGTCAGTTACATAATCATTCAACTCTCAGGAGTTCAAGGTACAGAAATGTTGGTGGTAATCCCCAAGGGTCCCCCTCAACATCTTTGTTATCTTAGAACAGGTCTAAGGGATAGAAGAGATAAAAAGAAAAGAACCTGCTGCTTCTACATCCTAGCATTAAAGTCAGAAAAACCTGGATGTGAAGTCCAAATCCAGCTGTACTACTATTTTTTTTTTAGACAGGGTCTTGCTGTGTTGCCCATGCTGAAGTGCAGTGGCTGTTCACAGGCATGGTCACAGTGCACTACAGTCTCAAACTCCTGGGCTCAAGCAATCCTCCTGCCTCAGCTTCCCAAGTAGGGACAACAGGCTCTTACCTACCATGGTGCCTGTCCTCCAGCTGTATTTTCTGTAAAAATGGCTGTTAAGCAATTTCTTGTTTCTTTTCTTTTCTTTCTTTCTTTTTTTTTTTTTTTTTTTTTTTGAGATGGAGCTTTGCTCTTGTTGCCCAGGCTGGAGTGCAATGGCGCAATTTGGCTCACTGCAACCTCCACCTCCCGGGTTCAAGCGATTCTCCTGCCTCAGCCTCCTGAATAGCTAGGATTACAGGCATGTGCCACCACACCTGGCTAATTCTGTATTTTTAGTAGAGACAGGGTTTCACCATGTTGGTAAGGCTCGTCTTGAACTTCTGACCTCAGGTGATCCACCCGCCTTGGCCTCCCAAAGTGCTGGGATTACAGGGGTAAGCCACCACACCTGGCCAATTTCTTCTGTTTCTATTAGCCCATTTCATCTTGAGTAAAATGTGTATAAGACCTATTTCTTAGGAATTAATGAAAATCCAACAAGCAGAGTGACACCATGAAAGACAATATAGTTGCTCCCTTGACCTTTCCCCTTGTTAACGAGAAAGGCAAAAATAGAGGAACCATATAGAAACCCTTGACATACCACCAGCAAAAGGCTCCAAAGCCTTGGCCCAAGGACAACTGCAACGATAATGCTACCTTTAAAAACAAAAATACTAGAAATTATGGTTTACTGGTCAAAATAGTAAAACAAAAACAAAAACAACAAAAAAACAAAAAACAAAAACAAAAAATTATTTTAATAATGCTTTAAATTCAGTAAGAGCTAGTATGGATTGTCTACCACTCCACTTTCCACATTTGATAATCTTGCATTCCATCATACATGTTGAAGATGTCCATCAAATACTTTCTTGTTACCCTCCACCTTTTATTTCTTCCTGTAGGGCCAAAAATCCATACTTTGATTTTTCACTCTGTGTGTGTACATATATACATTTTTAAACCAATTCCTGGCATCAGCTTTGAAGAGTTTCTGCCTTTCTAAAAACTATTTTCTCTCAGTTTCCCCCAACACTGCTCTCCAGGCTATTTGACAGTATGGCAGCTCTTCCTTAATTTCCTTTGCTAGTGGCTCCTCAATCTCTAACAGACCTTTAAACAATCTTGAAATCCAATGCCAGACCCTATTTTCTGTTCTCTTATCTATCACTCTCCCTAAGTAATTTAGTGCATGACTTTAAGCAACCAAACCTTTATATGTAAATATACGAGTGTGTGTGTATGTGTATATATATATGCTCTCTCTCTCTCTCTCTCTCTATATATATATATACACTGCCTCCTCCATGACTCTTGGAATAAGTTGTCTTTGTCTTTACAGGCTACTCAAACAGAATAGTCTCAAATACAAACTTCTCCCAACCACCGAATCTATTCCTCCTCCAATCTTTCTCACCTCAAGCAACGGTACCAACATCTATTAAGTTTCTCAAGTTCAAAATCTAGAAGTCAGCTTCTATCTCACCTGCACATCCCATCCTTTCTGCCACCAACCTTTACTATTTGTCACCCAGACCACAGTAATCACTTCAGTCTCTTTGCTTCCATTCTTGCCCCTGCCAATCCATTCTCCACCCAGAGCCTAAAGATGTTAAAACAAAATGGATCAGGTGGCTACCCCACACAAAATTCTTCAATAGTGTCCCACTACATTTATAATGAAAGACACTGAGCTCCTTTTAGTTATGTGAATATACCACTTTTTCTCACCCCATTACCTTCACGTACGCTGTCCTTTTGGTCTGGACTGTCATTCCACCCAATCATCAACTTACCCTTCAGGTCTCAGCTTCAATGTCATACTTCTCAAAAAAAAAATGCCTTCCCAAAACCCAATTAAAATTAGGTCCTATTACATCTTTACAAGTATCCTTTTCTTTCATAATACTTAAAAAACAGTTATTAACTATATTATTTGTCCAACTATTTTGTTAATGTCTGTCTAGGCAGAAGCAGTAACTGGTTTGCTAATCACCGTGTAATCCCACAGTGTCACAACCATGTTGTCAACATCTAAGATACCACCTTCCCCAATAACTATTTAATAAATGGAGAACTCATACCTACTGGTCCTAGAATGGCTATACAATATAGCAAGATGTGCCAAGGATATTTATCTATTCCCCTACAGTTGGACATCTAGATAAAATACTTTTAAAGTCAGTGATGGATAATGAAAGGAATTCAACTGGAGGAAAGACAATCCAGTCCTTTTCCCTAACAAGTTTCTGAAGTCTTTTACTTTCTTTTGTTCTTCTACAGTTCCCAACACAGAGTTAGTCCCATGGTAGATAATTACGCACTTAGTAGACCAAAGTAGAGTATATGTCAATCAATCGACTGCTAGAATTAGGTGTTATAAAAATTCTAAATATTATAATTCACTGAAGGCTAGAAGCATTAGAGGTGTTAGAGAGGTGGAAGTCAATTTAGACAGAGTAAGGGACAACTTCTGGGAATCCAGCCAACCTGTTATCACCCCTACTGTCTGCCCGTCTTTCGACAGTGGTGTATAGTCATAATTGTACTACTTAACACCCATTTCTTTAATCCATCTGCTAAAATTCTAACCAAAATTATCTTCAACATGTAGTTATTAGTTAAGCCAAGAAAACAGTGGCCATAAAGATTATGAGTGGCAGAAGGTAAAAAACTATAAAGAATTAAACTACCTGTTGCATAAATGAAACTGAACATAACATTTTATATACTATATTCATCTAATAACATAAGAATTAAGAGAATCTAAAATTGAGATCCTAGAGTCTTCTGAAGGGCCAATATAAGAGGGAAATAACAACTAGCTATTATTTTCCAGGCACTGAACATGGTCACTTTTATTGCACTTTTTTTCTAATCTTCATAATAACCCTGAAAAGCTGAAGCTGAGAGGTTGGGTGATTTCTTCAACTGCCGTACAACAAACAATACAGGTGTTGTTTTTTAGACACTTTGAACCAAAAAGCCAAGCGAAAAACACAAAGACACACAAATCTAAAGCTTTGGAGAACTTTAAGTGCTTTGTTACTGAGATCATTTAATACAAAATACCAAAAACTTCCATAGGAAGCATATATGCTCAAGATACATACCTTTCAACTGGATGTCTTTCTAAAACTTATGGGTAAATACAGATCACTTTACTGCTCACCTACTTAGCTTTGGTAAAATAAATCTAAAATATATCTGTATAATATTTTCATTAGTAAATACGTCCTAAGAAAAGGAAAATTGCTAGCTTCATATCTACTTTTGTCTACAATGATTTTTGGGTTTTGAAAAGAAAAAATAGACTTGATAGAAACTACAGAAGTATGAATAAAAAATGTTTTAGACATTGTTTTGCTTCTGATTATGATAAAATACCACAATGGAACAATAATATTATCTAAAGCCAAATGATCTCAGGCTTTTAAACAATCAATAAGCTGTAAGAGTTGGGGCCTCTGTAATTACCTCTGTGTGAATGTTACATTATCAAACACTGGGACAAGTACAGTCTTGTATGAAATCACTGTATGAGATCAAATAATCATATCCAAAAGAAATCACATACTGGATTTAAACTTTTCCACACTATGATCATTTCAACCTATGTGGTACTATCCTCTGGCGTTTACAAAATTCCATCAATGTAGTCATTACACACTTGTAAAGGAAGACTTCAAGTAATTCCGGCTCATAAAAAAGTTAAACATTAATGAAATTTCAAAAGCATAAATGTTATCTCAAAACAATTATATTGAACACTGAAGAAATAACAGTCTTATGTGACCATAAAAAAACAGAATTACAAAAATCAATGAGTTTATGGGGATGGTTTTCTGTTTACAAAGTGTAACTGCTTATTGTAAAGACCCCAGAGGTCTTCCAGGTCATCTTCTACAGAAAAACCAATTCTCCCGTTTCCCTTTTTTCTTTAAAGACTCGCCCCTCTCCCTAATTTTTTAAATATACACCTCTCCCAAAACGTTTTCATTGCAAAAAAAAAAAAAAAAAAAAGAGTTATGCCATTATCAGGAACAGAGTGTCCCAAGATTTAAGATTTCTATGATCCTTTGCATATTCAAGATTGCAAGAATTAAGCTTTAATAACTCATAGACCACAAACACACCCTGTTAAGATTTTCCTTCCAACACCAACATTCCCACTGTTGGGATCCCTAATAGGCGTACATAAGCCACACAACACAATCTTTTAAAACGACACAGATGGTAGGTGCTCTCCAACCTCTTCCGAGAGAGGTCCTCACCTAAACCTCCTGCACCTTCTCTTCTCAAGGGCCCACAAACACAACTGTCATTCAGAGGGGTGGTGACTGTTAAGCGTGGGTGGGAAACAAAGTGCACACGAGATACCTAACTGGATGGGGAAGGTTGTTAAAAGCAGCCCTCCAGTATCACTTAACTAGCCAAACCCGCTACAAACTTTTTAAGAGATTAAGTTACATTCCTCTGCAATTCCACCCTTGACAGCTGAATCCAGAGATGCCAGCAAGTCGTGCATGTCTACTCCTGCCACCTCAACTCGGGAAGAGTCTGCAGCCACATCCCGCGGTCGGCATGCACCAGGGGCTGGGGAAGAAGGGAGGGCCGGGCGAGCTCACCTTTTCCAGCTCGTCATGGAGCTCCGCCAGGCTAGGCCGGAGCAGCTTCTCGCCCAGCTGCGCGGCTGTGTGCCGGTAGTGATCGATCCTGGGCACAGCGTCCATGGTGTTGTGGCCGAAGGTGCGCAGGTAGTAGGTGTTGGTGTGGGTATCATAATAGTAGTGCTGGTGGTGCCCACTGCCGCCGCCGCCGGAGTGCAGGCTGCTGCCCTCGCTCAGCACCGTGTCCCCGCCGTTCTGGAAGCTCACGTTGGGCCCGTCGCCACCGACCCCGGCAGCATCCGACAGGCTGTCTTCAGCCGACGAGGAGGCAGCCGGGTCCACGAAGTTCACGCGGAAGCGGCCCTTGGCTTCCTCGCTGCCTTTAGCCGGCCCGCTCTCGCCGCCGCCTTCCCCGTCCGCAGGGGTCTGCTTGGCCCCCGCCCCAGCACCAGCCGCCGCCGCTGCCGCCGCCGCCGCCGCAGCAGCAGCGGCCCGCCCGGCGTTCTCGGAAACCAAGTCCACCTGGAAACGGCTCTGGCTCGGGGTGGGCCCCAAGGGTCTGCCCAGCCCGTCCCCGGCCGCCGCAGCGCCCTCCCCGCGGACCCCGCCGCCGTCCCGACTCGCGGGCGCAGCATCCTCCGGCACCGAGGGCACAGCCGTGCCGGGCAGTTCCACCCTGGCGGCGGCCAGCGCAGCGGCTGGCGGCGTCTCCCCGACCCCGGCCAGTCCCGGGGCGCCGGAGGAGGGCGCCGTGGGCACCGGCTCCATCGCTGCCCGACCCCCGGCGGAACTGCAGAGCCCGGCGGACGTCTCCGGCAGCACGCCCTCCGCACCCCTGGCCGGCGGTGGCCACGGCCGCAAGACCAGGTGAGGAAGTCTTTCTCCCCGCCGCCCGCTGGCCGCCGCTAGCTGGGACGGCACAGACGCCACTGGCAGCCAAGCGAGCGCGCGAGTGTGGCGGGCGCGGGGCGGGCCCCGCTGTTTAAAGCCTCGGCGGGGCTGTGGCTGCTGCGGCTCCGGCAGCAGCACGCGGGAGGCGGGGCCGGAGGCTCCTCCGCCTCTCAGCCCGCCCACCCACGGTCCCGCAGCGGCGCGCGGCTGACGCTCACTCAGCGATCCGGCCCTCCGCTGCTCCTGCGCGACCCCACGCGAAAGCGGCCGGTGCCAGGATCGCGGCCAGCCAGCCCGCGCCGGGCCTCGGGCAGTGCGGGCAGCACGAACGGCGCGATCTGGGAGCAGGCGCGGCCGCCCTCCGCCTCGGTGATGTCGCCGGGAGGATCTCCACGCCGCTACCTCCTCTTCCGTCGCCCTCCTCCCACGCCTTCACCTCCCTCCCCCGCCGCGCTCTGCGGCGAAAAGGAGCGGGCTCCCAGGCCGCCTCCCCTCTCTCCACCCGGGGGCCGCGCGTCAGTGAACCGGCAGCCCAGGCAACGGGGCTGCGAACGGCGCGCTGGCCCTGCCTTGCCTCACGCCGGTAGCTGATGCTCCCGCGGAAGCTGCCACCCCAGCGCCCCAGCCACGACTTCAGAGGCTCTCGCCCGCTGGCTTTTTTTTTTTTTTTTTTTCCTCCTCTTTGATGAACTCGCAGTACTTGGGCTGAGCCGGAAATCTCGCGAGATGCTGCAGGCGTCAGTGCCGCTTCCCACTAGGCGCGTGGTACCCGAGGCCGGGCTGGAGCTGCAGGCTCGCAGCTATTCCTGCGGGCGATGCTGGGGGCTTTCCGGTCGGGGCCGCAGCCGCTTCCGGAGCCGCGGGCGAGGTGCGTTCCCAAGCCGGGTTTGCTCTGGGCTCTGGCACGCCGCCGGGAATCTCCGCTCGTAACTCCGGGCCTGAACCCAGGGGTGGGAGGATTTCCTCTGTGCCGCTTTCGAGCAGTAGACTTACCCTGCTCGGCAGACCTAGGTTAGCATAACCAGAGATTGATTCCAGTTGTGATGCAGTGGGTGTCTCCACACTTCTGATGACACCTTTATTTTAAAAGCTGATGTTCCAAGGTGAGAAGGCAGCCTCGTTGAGACGTCATGTTGTTTCAAGATGAGTTTTAATTTAAGGCATTTCCAGAAGTGATATGAAGCTCATCTCTCAGAATACAATGCCGGCAATAACTACCCGTGAAGTCCTTACCAGGAGGTTTCTGCGTGATTTGGGTTGTGCAAAATGCCTCTGTTTATATAGAAACAGAAAGGTACTCCTCTGCAGGTCTAGTTTCTCTTCGGTAAAATGTAAGGGAATATAACTGTTTTCCTACTTTCTCAGCAGCAGAAATTTTTAAACCTAGTTTATGCCCAAAGCCCTAAGTAAAATCAATCAATGGCGTCCTCCAGTCACTTGGTTTTTATTTATGTACTTTATTTGTTTGTTTGGTTTTTTGTTGTTGTTTTTCTTTTTTTCTTTTTTTTTTTTTTTGAGATGGAGTCTCCCTCTGTTCCCCAGGCTGGAGTGCAGTGGCGCGATCTCGGTTCACTGCAAGCTCCGCCTCCCGGGTTCACGCCATTCTCCTGCCTCAGCCTCCTGAGTAGCTGGGACTACAGGCGCCCGCCACCGCGCCCGGCTAATTTTTTGTATTTTTAGTAGAGACGGGTTTCACCGTGTTAACCAGGATGGTCTAGTCTCCTGACTTCGTGATCCGCCCGCCTAGGCCTCTCCAAGTGCTGGGATTACAAGCGTGAGCCACCGCGCCTGGCCCTTGTATTTTTAAACTTGACTTTATGGAGACGAACACCATCGTTTGCTGAGCACTTGAAATATGGTGAAAGAGCCACAGAGTTGGCAGAACTGTTTGCAAATGCTGTAAGTAAAAGCTGCAACCAGGCAATTTTCAAAAAATTGTCATAAACATTATCTTACTTGAACTTCACAACTTTTCAGCCTATTATCTCTATAAGATGGTGAGGGAAAAACAGCTGTTGCATCAGGATTTTTAAAGCTCCTTTTGATAATAACCAGAGGAGGCCAGAAAAATGAGGCGGTCCTTTAAGCAGTGCAGTTTTCTTCTAGGGAATTGCTGCATTAGTAGATGATCTGTGCAGTACCTTTCAACTCCACGACGAATTCTGCCACTATTGGAACTCAACATTAATTTAGTTGAATAAATATTGAACAGCTACTGTGAGCTACTCTGTATTTACGGGATATATCAGTGAGCAAAACGGACAATCCCATCTCTCATGGAGTTCATTCTAGTGAGAGAAACAATAGACAAGATAAATAGGTAAAATACACAGCATCCAAGCAGTGAGTCCTAAGGAAAGGGAAATGTGATATTTGTGTGAAATGGGGATCATAAATTTTCCATAGGATGGCCTCACTGAGAAAGTAACATTTGAGTGAGGAAGTGAGTGATGTGAATTCTTGGGAAAAAAGGTGTCCCAAGCCGAGAAAAACCAAAGAAGACCCAAAGGCAGGAGCATGCATAGCATGCTCACGGAATTGCATGTAAGCCAGTTTGGCTGGAACTTGCTTAAGAGATGGGAAGAAACAAAGGCAGTTACATCAGAGAGCTTAGGATACGGGCCGTAATAGATTAGAATGTTTAGGACCTTTTTTGGCTATTAGATCTACTTGACTTTGAGTAGAATGGTGTGTTAGTCAGCTCAGGCTGCCATAACAAAATACCATAGATTGGGTGGCTCAAAGCATAGAAATATATTTTCTCACAGTTCTTCAGGCTGGAAGAATGAAATCAGAGTGGCAGCATGATCAGGTTCTGGTTTTCTGTTTGGCTTGCAGACAGTACCTTCTCAGTGTCTCCTCACATGATAAAGAGAGCGTTGTCTCTTCCTTTTCTTATAAGGGCAAGTTCTGTGGGATCAGGGCTTTACCCTAATCACCTCATTTAACCTTAATTACCTCCTTAAAAGCACTATCTCCAATACAGTCACCTAGGTGTGAGGAGAGGATTAGGGCTTCAACGTACGACTTTGGCGGGGTACACAACAGTCCTTGGCAGATGGCAAGTTGTTGGAAGGTTTCAGTGGAGGAATGACACCTGCCATTTTTTAAGGATTGATCTAGCTGTCTTGTAGGTAGGCAAGGGATAAGTGGTTGAGTCAGAGAAGCAAGGAGATGTGTTAAGAGTTGTTACAGCAATCCAGGAAATGATGGTAGCTCTTTGACCACAGTGGGTAGCAGTGGAAATGGGGAAAAATAGTTGAATTCTGGGGACATAATAGAATTTGCTGATGGATGTGAAGTGTGAGGGTCCAAGGGTTTTGACCTGACCAGTTGGAAGAATGGTATTACTATTTCCTCAGATGGCAAAGGAGGTTAAAGGAACAGATTTGGGTTGGATGAATATCAGGAGCTTAGTCTGAGATGTCTGTTGGAGGAAACACACAAATGTGTGGTAATAATAAGTAGTAGTCACTCATATAAATGTGTAACTGCAAAAAGAAGTTCCAGGAGAGAGGAACATGGTATAAGGAAAAAGCAAAATAGGCCAGACTTAGTCAAGACGGAAGTGACTTTTTAACAAAGGTCTAAAGGAATATTAGGACCAAACTGTAACTTGCAGAGGGTTTCAAACAAGGGAAATATTGTGGTCAAATGCCCTAATGGAGTGAGCAGGAACTATCAAAGAAGCTTGAAATCAGTTTGGTTAAAGCATAGGGAGGGATTAGGGAGCACAAGTAGTAAGAGATGAGTCTGTATTCTAAAAGCCCTATAAAAGCATTACTGGGTTTCCAGATAGATAGGGGCACATGATCAGATTTGTGCTTATTAAAACTCTCTAGGCCTGGCAAGGTGGCTCACGCCTGTAATCCCAGCACTTGGGAGGCCAAGGCAGGTGTACGACTTGAGCTCAGGAGTTCAAGACCAGCCTGGGCAACAATGATGAAACCCCATCTCTACCAAAAAAAGCACAAAAATTAGCAGGGCATGGTGACATGCACCTGTAGTCCCAGCTCCCTGGGAGGCTGAGGTGAGAGGATCACTTGAGGTGGAGGTTGTAGTGAGCTATGATTGCGCCACAGCATCCAGCCTGGGTGACAGAGTGAAACATTGCCTCAAAAAATAAATAAATAAAAATAAAACTAGTTATATTATGAGCAGAAGAGTGGATAAGAGGAAGAGTAAGCATGGGAAGGCAGGACACAATATCACTAATCTAGCCACGAGTTGATAGTAGTAATTTATGTCCTGGATACTGTGCCAAAATCTATACATTCATAATCTTACTGAATTCTCACAACACTATGAAGAAAATCATAAGATTACATCCATTTTACAGATGAAAAACTTGGTTAAATAAAAAATAAGTAATTCCAACATTAATGACCACATAAAAGACCTACAAAGGGCAGGTGGCCTAAGCGGTAAGAAGAAAATCAGATGAAGGCATTTGAAAACAGGATCAGCTGTGTTAAATTGGGCCAAGAGGCAGAGAAAAATGAGTTGAATATATATTGACTTTAGTAACATGTATTAGCCAACAAAATGAGAGAGTAGTCCAGTAAGGGGAGGGCCACAAACATTCCAGGAGATATCAAAATGTAGTATGTGAAACTTATGAAAAATTTCTCAGGAGAGGTCTCCTCTACTTAATTGTTGGCAAATATTTTATTGTCAGACTTACCAGGTGTCAGTTTAGAGACTAACCTTGAGAACAGACTTGCTGTCAGTGCCATGGTGGGGACCTGACTTTCTTTGCTGTATTTCCTTTTTGCCACAAGGCCAGCCTTTGACATTGTGTGTGTCTGAGTACTTAATAATATGTATTTCATGTAGTTGGAATTTTAGGATTAGAAGTGACTTGCATAGTTGTTATTCCAAGCTTCTCAATTCACAAATGCTAAAAGAAGACATAAATTATGTTAGACGTACAACTTCTCGAATCTGCAGCATCAGAATATGTGAAGTGCAAAGCCATGTAGAACCTTTGAAATCAGCTCCCTTTTCTTTTTTTTTCTTACAGTTAGTTTTAG